ATTCAAGTTTGGTTTCATTTTGAATTAACCATACCTTTTTTTCACACTGACATAATTTTTCGTACAAAGTAAATGAGCTTGAAAATCTACTAAATGATCTATTCATCACATATAGGGTCAAAATAATACAAAATTTTTAAATATGACATACTTATAAAAGTTTCTAAAGACAAAAGTTTCTAAGTGTAAACATCTAAACAAATAAATTTTCTTTTTGTTTCAAACCGGTATGATGAACAAGGAATACAAGTATTTTTACTTTCCCATATGAAAAACTAATTTTTAATTTTGAGCTGCGTGTTCTAAATTGTAAAACGTGTTGTTATTATGAGCATCCTAATTGTAACTTTTGTTTAAATCTCAAGCGTTATACAAACAACAATATTAAATTTACAACAATGAACTATCTTTTTTTTTGTACATTGTTATCATTGGGTTACAACTAAATTACTTCAATTAAATTATTAAATTTATTTGAAAATTATTTCCGAATTCAATTAGCACCTTAAACAAAGAAAAAAATAATTGAAAATTAATACAAGAATATAAAAAAGAATTAATATTTTATCATACTAAAAGAAAGTCATTATTCATTATATAAAATATATGCAATATTAAATTTGTCTTTAATGTATACGAAAACCTATAATTTACTTAATAATACAAGCATATTAAAAATCAGGCTACAATACTTCACTTAGAAATATAACAAGATTTTCTAAATCAGGTTTCAATAATAACTCTCTAATAGTATAAATACGACATATACTTTCAAAATCATATCATATGTGCTTAAAAATCAGAAATGCTATCAAATTTATTACAAAAAAAATCCTCCTACATTACAAAACCTGTCATGGTAGTTATATAGAATCAATTTTATGCTTTACCTAGATTATATTTCTTTTTGTTTAACTAGATCATCATTTTAATAACACTCTTTAATCATTTCATTATATATAGAAAATCAAAGAAAAGTGAACTATAAATTTTATATTTAATTTGCTAAAAAAAAAAAATAAGACTAAAACATTCAATTTTTAATAAAAAAGTTAATCAAAAAAAAATTATTTTTTATTATTATTTTAATATTGCGAATGGTTATCTGAGAATAGCAGTTATCATGTTTCCAAAAAGAAAATATATAGAGTAAAAAAACTAAATAAAATATCGAAAAGAAAATTTCAATTCAATAATTTTAGTGATCATGATAATGATGACCTAGATATTTAATATTATATGAGCTATATTTATAATGTATAACAGATATGCAAAGATATTTCATATATCCATTAATTTAATATTGGCTATCTAATATATATAACTGTTAGGCTATTTGACTTTGGTATTACTGATATTATATCCGATACTGTTCTCAATTTCTTCTATATATAAAGGAGAAATTTTTGCTTTTCCAGTTTTTCAATATATTTTAAATATATGTGTATGTGTATTTTATCGAATAAAATTACATTTAATTTATAGATTTGAAATAAATTTAAGAATTTTATATTCAACATTTTCTTTTTCAATTTTGCTTATAGTTCTTTATAGTAAGATAATGAAAAAGAATCTGTAACAAACTCTCTATCACTTAATAATAATTTGTATCTCCTTTATATGCATATTTGTATGTATTTTATATTTATAATAATATGTATTTGATTTGTCGAAAACATGCTTTACATTCATTCAAAAGAACAAGCCTGAAATATAATTAAATTATACACTTTGACTTTGTATAACATTACCTTAATTTACTAAAATAACTGGGGTATGCTTATACATATATTAAATAATTATAAAAATTATTACTGTATATTTATGTACAATTATATTATTATTTACTCTACATACATACATACTTGCAATGATTTTTTTTTTTTGTAAAAGATTTGAATCTCAATAAATCTAGTTCTCATATTACACAATTTAAAACTCTACTTATTCCCTAATATTCAATATTTTTTTAATATCCAAAAAATAAATATTATTTTAATTTTTTTTTGTAATTTTTCCCAAATTCCAATCAAAAATATGTAAGGAACTCCATTCAAGTTATCTATGTATGAATATGCGCGTACGTTTTCAGTTGCTGCAAATATAGTACTAAAATGAGAAAAAAATCATAAACAGCCATGATTTTACATTTTAATAAATTGGATACAAACATAAATTTAATTCAAATATGAGATCTATTATAAAAGATTTACAATAATATGAATTAAATAAGAAATATATATATGTAAGTATACTGAAAAATTATCGCACCACCATATACAAACTTAAAAACTAGTTCAACCAAAATAATCTTATAGCTTGCTATAATAATAAATTTAAAGTCTTTTATACAATAAGCGAGAATTTTCTTTTAATCTTCAATCGTTCGTATATTAAAGAATCAAAATTACATATGTATAAAATTGTATGAATATTATGATCGGTTTAAATGACTTTATTTTAAAAAAGAATTTAATGAAAAAAGGAATGCTTATACATATTATAAACCATAGACAGAAAATCCTATAATAGAAATTTCTTCTATATATGCAAAATCTAATGTCTATACCAGCGAATAAATTTAAAGTAATGTATGTACCAGCGATCATCCAGTAGATTTAAAACAATAATTCGCAAAAACCTTTGTGTTTGATTGCGTTTTACCCGAATCCTGAAATGTAAGAAATGTTAACTAAAGCTTTCGACTAACCAGAACTCACCACATTATGAAACTGGAACGGATCACAGGATCATCCACTTAAGTGATTCTATACCGTTTATCTTCTGTTACAAAATGAGATTCCTTTTTCTCTCAACTGTTCTTCTATCTTTACAATTGTTTTGACACATTTTTTGTCATAATCACCTGAAATATACGCTTATGTATCGGAACTTTAAAATAAATTACTTCAATAAATCAAATAAAGAACATGCTAGCTTCTTTTCTCGCCAATACATCAAATACCTCAAACAGTCAAAAATCTAATATAATTTATTAGATTTTTTTTTTATTATAACAGATCTCGTGGTAGATTAGAAATTCATTGTATCAGACTTATGTGAATTAAAGAGCATATTTGACTTAACTTTCCTTGACCGAAAATAAAACATTGTCATGTTAACTAATTATTATGTATATTATTATTGAACATGCTTATACAAAATATTATAGAAAAATAATATCTACTCAATTTAAATACAATTTTTTTTAGTATAAAATGTGAAAAAAAACATACAAGATTTTATCACTAAAAAAATAATTTTTCTCGAATTCTTTCAAAATTTAATGAACATCTAAAATAGTAGAAACGACATAATTTCTTGTATAACTTGGTGAAATTTCAACATTTTTCTATACAAACTTCTATATACAAAACACGTGTATGTACATAGCATAGATAGAAAAGATTTAAATCAGTTAATGTGCATCCAAGGAGTGGCATACATAAACTTTGCGCACTTTATTTTACTATCATCTTCTCTATAATTTGCTGTTCTCTTTTTCATTTTATTCTTATTTTATTCTAATTAACATGGACATTTCGATTGATTTTTAAAGTGATAACCAACAATTTGAATGAAATGGGTCACACTGATCGAAATCAAAATATTATTGCCCGAAAGGAAATAATCGAATACATGTACGTTCGAATACATAATATACGTAGAAACAATTTTACATCGTAATAATCATTAGAACGCATTTTTGTAATAAAGAAGACTCTCGCCGGTGTTGTTCTTGCTTTCTTCTCAATTTTTTTACTGAATAACTTTCTAAGATTCTTCAATAACTAAAAAAGAAAATGTTTTTTACTTTTTTATTAGATAAAATTTTATTATTAACAGATTTTATAGAAATTTACTAAATCTGATTTTAAGTATACCTACATACACATGCACATGTACATCAAATGAGTATACTCTATAATATAAAATTAGAACATGTATTAGAAAACGTACTAGAATATGAAATTAAGCTTCTGTGTTATAGGCCGGAATGGGTTTTTAATTTATAATAAAGTAAAAGGAAAAAAAATTGTTTATATAACATGATAATCGCGGCATGCAACAATTTTATAGAACAAAAAAAAATGTTCTTGAGGTGATAGTTATATTGATTGCCGATGATGATGATGATTAGTGATGATGACCATGATAATTTTTCTATTACTTTTCTTTCAATATTAAGGGAATTAGAATTTAATTTGTGGTTATTTTTTAAACTAATTTCAAGATTTTACTAAAGATAAAGAAAAAAAGAGTTAATGCGGTAAGTTAAAAGGCGTGATTTTAAAAAATAAAAAAAAATAAAATAAACAACCGTTCTTTGATTCAATATAGAAGCGCTTATATTAAAAGAGTATATAAAAAATTGTACATTCATTCACACATACTTATATAAACTTTTTGCAAATCAGTGTAATAGCGACATTAAAATGCAATGAAAAATATTACAATAGCTAAGAAATTTTTAATAAATTTGTATTTAAAAACAAAATTTTAAATTAAGTGTATAGCATGAACTTTGTGCAAAAAAACCTTTACAATATTCTATTGTGAATAAATATTCCACTGTGAATAAATTCTTCTAAGTAAAAGCGAACGAAATCCGTGTAATATATACATGTATAAATATTTTTGTAATAAATAAAATATTTATACATGTTGTGGCAAACGTTGTCTCTGAATAACAAATCTGTTTTCGCTTATTTTTGCTAAGAATTCGGCTACATACAATTAATCTCTGCAGATTTACCTGAAAATTTAGCCGATATCAAATATTTGTTAAGATTTTACTAACTACTGTATGTGTTATTTCGACAACTTTCTGAAGAAAAATTTTACACCAAAAATATTGTTTAAAGTTTTTAAATTTTTTCATTCCGGGAATATTTGCCCGAAAAGAAAATTCATTGAGAAACGTTTTGAAAACCATTTAATTTAAAACATTTTTTTTTTGAAATATTTAATTAATTTTAATTTTATTTTTTCTTTTTCAGCAAAAATGAAAATATTTTTGCCACTAGTCACGTGGATAGTGCTGATTAGTTCGGTAAGTGTATTTTTTTTAATATTTTTTTTTATAATTTAACAATTTGAAACAAAATTCAATTTAACACTAATGTAAATACTATAATAGAGTCACAACATGTGTACTTGCAAAAAATTTCACTATAAACAATGGAAATCTATTATTAGTTTAGAGTCATCTTATTGCATATTATTAGAAGTCGTATAAAATACAGCCATATGCATTTATTTTTGTGAGAAGTAGAAAAAGTTTTTTTATAATCAAAAAAAATTTTACAAAATCACCATATTGTTCAAAAATATTTAGATTTTTAGTATAGAATGCAATTTATTTCAAATTTCGAAATTAGATTTTATTCTAAAAATTATAAAATTTTTAAATAATATCCCATTACCTCAAATTATTCGTCTCAACATATTGGTGAATATTTATAAATCCTTATGATACCCTGTATAGGGGGAAAAAATAAATTTGAAAAAACCAGCTAAGTTAATGCAGACTACGCCAAATTAGAAAAATTTTTTACGGTTAGATTTTTTAGATTACGGTTATTAGTAAACAAAAAATTAATCACAACAATTATAGCTTTGTTGACTGAAACAACCAACACAATTCGACAAATGATTTTAATGCTATATGGCACGATTGCAAAATACAGTTACACCAAACGTAATACTCTTTATTACCTTACTTATAAATGAGTTGAAATATAAAAGATTTTGTTTTTTAATCGTTTTAAATCAATTCTTGGAAATATCCAATAAATTTTACATACATACATATAATAATATAAAACTCCATAAAAATCGAAAAAAATTGCATATCAGTTTTTTAAACAGTGTTTAATTCAACAATAAAAATTTCTCAATAACTCATAACAATTTTAATTTATAGGATACTATTGAGTAAATCATATAGATAATCATTAATTAAAACATATTATGTACAAGAAATTTACAGATTTCTACATAGTGAGAACTAATGAAGTCATAAAATAAATAAAAAACAAAAAAAAAATTATAAAAGTCTTTTAAATAGAAAACAGATAAATACAAAAAAACACTTTATATATTAATTTTATAAAATTATGCGTAAATTTTTAACATAAAAAAAGCGGCATTACACTTTTCAAGGTCAAAACTTTTTTAAACAGTACAGGGTGAATTTTTTACCAATAAATTAGTCGTTATCATCCTCTTGTTAATTATTGCAATTTCGTTTTAAGAAAGGTTAGAATTCAACGGAACATTTTAATCAATACAACATAACAATGTGTTGGCAGATTGCTTTCTATCCAAAACGTTGAATTCATTTTCTAACGAATGCGTTCTTAATTTATTTTTTTTATCCTACTTTGCTCCTATATATATTAAACTATGTATTGTATGTAGTATATATAAAACTATGTATGTTCTATATATATAAAACTATAATATTGGATATAATTTTTTAAACGACCAGTGCAAAACCACTGGTCAGGTCTAAATTTATCAATATTTGTTAAATAAATAAGCAAATATTTGACTGAAGCAATTTAGCAGAATATATGTATTGAGCCGATTCGGCAATAAAACAGAAAAATCAAACTGAAAAATAATCACCCGTTCTATAACATTGTCGACAATGAATAAAATAATATTCATATTTAACAAGATGTATAAGAAAAAAAAAGAAGAAACAAAATCAAAAACTAAATTCCTTTTACTCCTTCAAAAATTAATCGTTAATCACTGTTCAAAAATGAACATTCTTTAATCATTTATTTATTAAGAGCATTATTGCATTGTAAATGGCGCCATAAAATACTTTATGCATTACACTACATGTTTTTTAATTTTATTTTGCTCTTATGTATACATACATTACATTAAAATTACAAAAGATTTTCTTTTCTTCTCATATACGATAACCTATTTAAATTAAAATATCATCTCATTGAGTAAAAAGCAGAATAATCGAAACAATCGTACAAAAAAATGATATACATACTTTATAATACATAGATATATGTATGTATAAATTAATTTTTTATTCTTATGAAGGTATTTTAAGAATGTGCGAAAAATCCTTACGGTTAAACCTCGAATTTTTGAAGCTTTCAATTTTATGAACTTTAGGTCTAAAATTTTAAATTTGAAAATTTGGCTAATGTAATAAGTAATGGCTTCTAACACATGGCAAAACGTATCTTTCCTTGGAAAAATAAAATGTTTCAAAACCACAATGAAAAACATTTTCGCAAAAAATTACGATATTGCAATAAAAAAGACCATAATCCATCTTAATAATCTATTTATTTCGATTACTGGTCTCTGCTTATTCATATATATTACAAAAAACAAAATTTTAGAAATAAAGAAATATTGAAAATGTCGGCCTCAAAATCGCCTAAATATTGTAGTTACACTGTATATACCATGCAGAAAAAAAGATTTATTTTGTACATAAGTTCAACAAGAAAGCTAATGATATGCAAATGAAAATTAATGATTTTATGAAGACAAAATTTAAAACAAATACAAGCACTCTTTTTAAAGTAAGATAAGATAAAAACTATGTAAATGTAATAATTTGTAGTTAAATAAAATTGTATGACAATTCATAAGAATGTAAAAATGTCCTTGAAAAATAGAAAGGATGTGATTTGTCATGTTTTTTTTTTGTTTTTCTTTCATTTACCATTCACTTATCACAAAACATAGTTTTAGTTTTTATAATCAAAAACTTAATTTTTCTTGTAACATTTCATCTTTATTGTCTAGAACATTAATTATAGAAAATTGTATTACTTTATTAAATTTTACAATTATTCCTGGATTATAGGAAAATTATTATAAAATTTGATTTTCAATATTCAGAATATATCATTATAATTTGATCATCACAATTATTTCGATTTCGAATGAATCGCACATAGATTTATATAAATTTCTATATAATATGTGATAAAAATTAGGCGAGCTTATTCTGATTTTAGGTATATGTAGGAGTGCTTAAAATAAAAAACAAGAGAAATAGATTATTCTAAAATTGTCATTTATCTTTTCCAACTTAAATTAAACGTACTATACATTATTTATTTACACATTAAGCCAGTGAAAACAGACAACTACACGATAACAAATTAATAAAACAGTTACTTCCCATTCATTTATTAGAGTTGGGAAAAGGCTTACTTAAAGTACAATATGTAAATCGTTTAATTATATTCCTCTTTCAATATATTATAAATTTTTTAACCTGTAACTTAAAATGTTAAAAAAGCAGCCCCTTAAATATTTGTAAAAAAAAATAAAGCCCACATTGTGATTCCACACAAAATAATGAAATTTCATTTATAAATTTCGATCTGTTAGCAATTCGTTGTCCTTCGGAACACATTTAGTCAAAATATGAAGACAATAGTATAGAATAGAACAAATTGTGTAGCTTGCCTTCACTTCTAAAATGAGGTACGTAATTAGTTTAGCTCAGCCCTGAATTTTTTATCACTGGTAAATCATTAAAGTATAATAATTTGACGTAATAGTACCTACATATCATAAATATGTACATATATAATGTCTGACACTCAGATGTAATGTCAATCCCTTTCAAAATACATTTGTTGTAAACAATTGCATTAGATCAGAAAGTTCAATAAATTTATATTAATACTCGTATATAGCTTGTATACGTATGAATTAGTGAACATCATGTACAACATAAATAAGTACACATATAAAATCGTATATTTCGAATTAATATTTTTTCTTTTTATAAAAATTTTTTTTTAAAATAACGTATAACATCAAATTCAAATATACAAAATACCATGTATCTAATTCTGCAAATATTTCGTATGTATATATATATATATATATAACATACATATATATATGTATATGTAGTTTAATATTTTATGTTTACATTGCTGAACGAACCGAATAATTTTCAGAGAAAACAAGTTTTGTCTTTTCTTTTCAAATCATGGACATAATCTTTATGATTTTGTAATACTCTTATAAAACATTGTAATTTTGTTTGTAACACCATAAGACTTAGATATCTTTTTGCTTCTTAGCTTCTACTTTTTGGTTTCTTTTTTGTTTTTTAATTGCTATATTCCTTTCACGTTTAAATGTACTTTCTATAATAATAATAGTAATAAACATACACTCTCGGGCGTACATAGAATATCTCATAGAATTAATTTTCATTTTTATTTTATTTTTATCTTACCATACACTTCTTATAATACCACTTTGTGTATACGTCCATGCCATTTAATTTTTGATACCAAATGAATCTTATCTACCATATTTTTTTTAATTCTATAAAAATTATTGTGTGAATACGTAAATCTTCTTTCCATTTTCAAATTTAAACTTTTCACACAAAAAAAAAAAATTTAAAGGTATGAATAAAAGTGGCAGATTTGAAAAAAAAGTAATCATAATAAAAGATTTATCGCATGTCTATAGGAAAAACAAAAAAATAGGGTCTTACCACTTTCTTGAAAGTTGAAACTGTTTTTTTTTTTTTAATTTTGAATTAAAAAGTTTAATAAAGATTTTTGAAACTTTGTTGCAATCAATTTACATTCGAAATGTTTTATTGAATGCCGCCGTTTAATGGTGTTATTATCATAATGGGAAATGGCCAAAAATCATTTATGTATACGTACTTGTAAGAAGTTAAATCAAAAGAAACAATGTAGAGAAATTATTATAAATATGAAAGAAAAATGTAGAGAAATTATTTTAAAATAAACAAATTTTATTTATTGCATTATATAGAAAAATTCAATTAGGTATTAATTAATAATATTGTCAACATTCTTAAAAAATAAAAATTTTATTTTGGTTATAATTTTATAACAGTCATCAAACTTTGCCGGCATTCCGACAAGAAAAGGTATTTGAAAAATGTATGTATTCATGTACTTGTGTTGGAATTCTATAAGATGATTACAATATAAGAAAAACATCCCCGCAAAAAAATTTTAACAAAATATTTTTTATAAAACAAAAAATATTTTAAATTTA